GGTGAGGTTGCTACTTCTGGATTCATAGCTGTACAAAATAAGACCCCTTTTTAATTTCTGCATTCAAAGTTTCAAGAAAGCTCGTATGAGTTTGCTGGAACTGAGACGAATACCAAGGCGCCAAGTTGAACGATACACCTGAAGTGACATGCTGCAGTGATGTGCAGAGATGAGTTATTCGATGAGATTCTAAAGCTTATCAGCGTGTTGTAAAATTCTACTTTCATGCTGTTTAAACCTTGGGGAGAATCCTCTGAAAACAGTGGTTGGCTTTTCGCAGATGCGGTTTCCGCTAAAGCGGAACGGTGCCAGGTTTCAGGTACCTGCTGCACTTGCGAGCATTATTCTGTTCACTGCTGGGTGGGCAACAGCGTATCCTCCACCACTGGAGCTTGATGATGATGCCGTACACGAGGCGGAAGTACGCGTCGTATCATCACCGAAAGGCAAGGAAAAACTTCCCACCTGGGTGTACTTGCAGTTTCAGATGTACCCTCCCGCAGCTGTATCCTACTCAGTGCTGCTACCCCATGTCCCTTTCACTGTGACGGCGGAGGACTTCTCAGCACGGTGAAGCGAGGTTTCCCACATAATCTGGCACATGTATTTGTTATATGCGTACACCTTTGAATGCCAGCGTGATTGCGAAAAAGGTCCTAAAGGTCAGCTGACTACCTGCCATCCGACTCAAACGTACTGGAACTAGCAACAACAAACAGATCAGCGTCCATGGAACCCCAATAGACTGGCACTTTCGTCTTGTTGAGGCGAGTCAGTTGAATGAGGTGCACCGCAGCAAAAGGCAAAGCCTCTCTAAATTTGCATGCAGGCAGTCCCAGAAGGCATCAAACTGATTCCACCGATTGAAGTTGAGCGCCTACCAGGCAAGATTCTTAGAACTCCTAGCTACACAGATTGTTTTCTATTTCTAGTGATATCCTTCAGGAGATCACACGGGAGCTGTGTGGCGAGCCACCGCTGCAATTCCGAAGAGCATTCGGACCTTGCAAACAGGACCGCCACCACGTACGAAAAGCTCCCTCACTTCAATCTGCGCAACTGGTGTACTTCACTTTGTGTCCAAACAACAGCTAAGCCGCGAGCCGCCGGTGGGGAGACCATGGGGGGCACCGTGCCCGCTGTGTACCCTACTGGGACACCTGGAGAATTGACAGGGCTGTTTGGCGGCCCCTCTGCCCCCTACCGGACTACAGGGACCCTTAAGAGCGGCGGCCCCACTCGGATTCCCCCAAGACACCGAGAAAAACCGCTGCCTTCGGCCTCCGTTCTTGAGAGCATGCCTCTCCCATCATTTGACAACTGAAAGAAAGAATATTAATTGACGAGTTTGCAGCAGCAGTC